TCCCTCATTCTATCACAGGGAAAACAGTAGACTAGTTGTTGACATTAATAGAGTGGTGGTCTTCCATTTTTTACTCATATTCGTAACTTGGTTAATCATCTTGATGGGCGTGCCTCATGGTAATTTTGTCCTCTTTGAGAAACCTTAATGTTGATTATCATAATTCTCTCAACAGGATTTGCTTTCCTTTTAGTCTTGTAAATATATTTTCCATTTAACTATAAAACCCTAGATTATTTCATTTTTTATTTTGTAGTCATCTAATAACTAAAGTTTCTGATGTCAATAAGAGAGAAGTAGAAGGGAACAATAATTTAGTATTCTCTGTTTTATAACAATACAATCTATTTGTTACGGCTTTTACACCAAGAAAATAGGAGTAAATGCTGTAAATGAGACCTAAAAACTAGGTATAAATAAGATAGATGATACATGACCTTTTTATAAAAAGATATATAATCAATAGAAGATGAGAAAAAGGAACAAAGACATATGTTGGAAAAGGAAAATATATTTTTTTTCTTTTTTATATAAAATTGGGTATATTTAATTAGGACCCTATGACGGTAGAATATTCCATAAATAATGGAATTCCAAAATAATTAAGTTTTTCTTTAATATTGACATATCAACACTATATATAATTGTGTCATAACTTGCAATATTCAGTAAGAAGTACAATTTTCTCCAAATAGCATAAGTCATAGATGAAAAAATATTTCTCTTTCATTTTCAAATCCTAAACTAGCCTTCATTGCTTAAAAAAATGCAAATTTACAACCAGCCTTTATAGATAGAACTCCTCCAAATAACCTTTATTTTTGGCTGCAAAGAGCCACCTTTATTTTCTACCAAGTTTCTAGCTGTTGTTACTCTATTTTCTTTAGGAAGTCTGTATTGTGGTCCCAATTAAAACAACATGAAAGCAAGATAAATTCTCTTAGGGTGAGAAAAAACCCAACTTTTTAATGATAACAAAAGACATACATTCACTTGATACTTGCATGTTTAAAGAGAAGACAACATAATTATAAATACACAACTGGTCTTGCTATTCAAGGCATGAACATTAATTTAGGGATAAAGGAAACTGTTTACAGAAACTAATGGAGATCATGGAGTCATGGAAACTATTCTTCAACTGTTTGATTGAATCGTGGGAGATGGTTGTTGTACTTGGGGTTGGGTATCCACTGCTGTTGTGATTTCCGTATTCTATCATTACTCCTCCTTTTTTATGAACCTTGTCCTCAAGGTTCAAAATAAGAAACTGGTCTTATAGAATAGATGTTGGTTCCCATGTGGCATTGTTAATAAGAAGGTGGTGCCATTTGATGAGACTTTCTTCCATAAATTTAGATCCCTATTTGACCCACCTAGTGTCCAGAACATATTCAGGTTGGAGAATGAGGGTCCCTTCGTCCGAGGTCAATGGTAAAGTCCCTGTGGAAGGAGTGACATCACCTATCTTCTTTTGAAGTACGGACACATGAAAGCCGGGTGAATGCGAGATTCTAGTGGTAAATTAAGCTTATAAGCCACTGGCACAATGCATTGAATTACTTAGAAAGGGTCCATAGAAACGACAAGCCAACTT